CCGCTCCCGCAGCCGCTCCGGCGTCCGTCCGAGAGTCCGTGTGGCCGCGGCGTGGCTCTGTCCAACCAGGAAGCCGGTCGCTGTCCCGCCGAGCGCCACAACACTCGCTCGAGGTCGCCTCAGACGACGTGTAGTGTCTCTGTTCCCCAGAGTGCCCACGGAGACAGTGTTCCACAGAGGAGGACAAAGACCGCACGCCGGCAGTGAGCACCGTACATAGTAGGTTCAGGAATGTAACACGCCACGTGCGCCGTGTCCCGGGAGAGGGCTACCCGCTTGTCCTCACCTCACATCTGCGGGGGAAGCGAGAGACAGACACTGAGGGGACACTGCCCGCACGCACGCCGCCGCGTGGTCGGCACCCACCCATCGGGGCGCGCGCACGCCCGCTGCGGCCGGTCTTGGGGTTTGACGTCTCCGTGAGGTTTTTTCAAACCAAAGATGCTCGTGACCCTTTCAGCACCATCCTGCCCAGAACTGGGACGAGGCTCTCGGAGCTCACAAAACACGGCTTGCGAGTGGACCCCGTTCTCCAGCCGGACAGACCGAGGCCCAGAAAGGTCTTCTTCTCCTCACCTTCCTTTCTTCCAGCTTGGAGTTGGATGTGATTTCTGGAGCTCTGGCAGCCATCCTGGGCCATGAGGCGGCCCTGAGGGTGGGCACTGCCAGCCAGCCAGCCAGACAGACAGACGGGGTCTCTGACCAGGCAGATCCTCACTGAGCTCTGGGCCGAGAGCGGCTTGTGCCCATCCTAAGTCACCTGACCACTGCTCGTCCTAACACTTGTACCACCCACGTGCCCAGAGCCTGCGTGCCAGCAGGGGCACCCACCTCTCACTTTGGGGTCTCTGTCAACAGCTGGCTCTGTAGATGGACGCACAGAGCACAGAGCCACCCCATACCACACCCTTGGGCCAGCAGAGGCCAAGGCTGAGCAGCCATCTGGGGCTATTCCGGGGACCCGCCCCTGTGGGCCCTGCCTCCCCAGAGTCCTAGCGGAAGCTCTTGACCCGCGGGTCGTGAAAGCTCCTGCGCTGGCAGCCCCCTGCAGCCGTGCAGCCAGCCGCAGCCCGGGCTGACGCCTGCCCCTCTCACCCTGGGTGTTTGGATGCCATGGGCTCCCACGTGCCCAGAGCCAGGCAGGCTGACACCAGAGGTCAGGAAGGCTTGAAGCCGCCTCCCCTGTGCTGCTGGCGGTTGCCCAAATCCCAATCTGTCCTGGGAGCAGCACACCTCGGTGAGACTCCCTGACCGCCAAGGGATGGCCAGGGAGGTCAACACCGAAGTCATCGGGTGGGATTTCTCTGAAACCGTCGTTTCACCCTTCTGCCCACCTTCCTCTTTCTTTCAGCCCGGAGTATGGATGTGATTTCTGGAGCTATAGCAGCTATTTTGGGCTGTGAGGCACCCCCCGAGGATGGGGAACCAGTCCTGGGTGGAAGAGGGTCCCCGTCAACTTGAGAGTGCCATACCTGCTCTGGTCTCGCCGTCTGCACATGAGCTGGGAGCATCTACCTAACCTCTAACCTCGCTGTTTCGGGGGTGCTCCTAAGAGCCAGCACAGTTCCCAGCACGGCAGCCAACAGCCTCTACGTTCACAAAGCCTTTCCAGGCAGGAGCCACGCGTCCTCGACTGCCCTTACCTGCAGGCTCTGCGGCCCTCAGCTTTCTGTCCCATGGGGTGGGCTGACCCCAGCCGGGGGATGTCAGAGACACCCTCCACCCCGCTCAGGAGGCCCCAATCACTACAGCTCTGTGACACCTCTGCCCCCCGAATCAACGGAAAGACCAAAGCCAGAGCAGGGGCTCGGGGCTTCCCGTGCAGCGGCGGCAGGGGGCGGGGGCAGGGGCGAGGCCGGGGACGGGAGACCCGGGGCCCAGCCAGACACCAGAAGCTCACAGCGCGATCAGGCCAATCACGGCCACGTCCTCGCCGGGGGTGGGGGGAGATTCGCCCTGATCAGCCACCGCGCCCTCCCGTGGGGCTCACCCACGGTCCGCTCCTACCTGGCCGGCTGTCAGGTGGGCTTTAACCTTTTCCTTTTCCGCTTTTTACCTGCCTCCCTACGCCTTCCTGTTAACAGAGGGCGGGAGGCGGGTGGGCCTAAGGGAGGCGCCCGCTGGGAGCTGAGGCAGAAACACCTGAGCCGTCTCTCTCTGAAAGAAAACTCCATCAGCGGCGGGACCACGCCTGGTGTCCTCGGCCCTGGCCGATGCCACGCTGCACCACGGCGGAGACGGCCACCAGCCGCCCTGCGACACCGCCTTCCCGCGGGGCACCGTCCCCCAGCACGGCCCCCTCGTGACCACTGCCGGCCACCGAGCCGGGATTAGGGAGACGTGATCCTACGCCGCTGAGCGGCCTGGCGGCTGGTGCAGGCAGCAGCCGCCCCGCCCCACCCGGCCCCGCGCAGACACAGACACAGACGCCCGGCTCACCCGTCTCCTCCTCGCGGTGGCCCGGGCCCGGGCTGGCGGCCGCGCACGCGCACTCCAGGTGCTCTTCCAGCCTCACCTGCACTTCCTTCAGCTTCGGCTTCTTCCTCACGTACTCCACCTTGGCCACCTGCAGAGAGACGAGGGCCGGTGAGCGCCCCGCCCGGCGAGGAGGGGGCCTGGTCTCTGACCGACCGGACCTCTGACCTCCTCCCGGTGGGCGAGGCGGCAGCACCACGCGACAGAACAAGGCTCAGCGCGGCATTTGTGGTTTGGTCCCATTTTAGCTTAAAATAAACCCGACGTGCAGCCAGGAGGTCTGAGGACGGACGGCAAGGTGGGCGGGAGGGGGCGGCGCCTGCTTCTGCGTTCCAGGGACAGCCAGGCTAACGGAAGTTTCCAGATGTGTGCTGAGCAGTATAACAGGACAGGCCGGGGCACAGGGGGCGGTGGCCGCCGCTGCTGCTGCTGCTCGTGGCCCAGGCGTCAGCATGGGGAGCCGGCTCGGCCCCCAGCCCACAAGGAGGCTGCCGGGTCTCGGTGTGATAGGCTCCAGGCCACACTGCCAGCAAGGCCGGCTGACAGCCTGGCCCAGGCACGAGGCCTTCTCGTGGCCCCCAGGAAGCTGGCCTTCTCAGGAGTGTGGGCAGAGACCCCAGGCCATCCCAGAGGAGGTGGCGAGGGGAACGCAGACTCAGCAGGTGCTTCCTCTTCGGTTCGGGCGAAGCCACCACCACCCATCGACAGGCCGCCAGCCCCAAACCTCTGAGCACAGAGCCACCTCCACACCCCTGCCCGAGCACTGCAGGAGGACACGGCCCCAAGTCCACCCAGCCAGAGGGCCCGAGGCACCATCCAGGCAGTGGAGGAAGCAGGGTGGGGTGTCTTAACCCCACGGACCCCAGAAAACTGGCTCGTCTGCCCTGGACCAGGGCTCTACCCCACCCCACAGGCATGTGTACGCACACACGCACGCACACGCAGGCATGCACACACGCATGCGTGCACACACACGCCCAGCTCCGGACGCTTATCAGTGAGCAGCAGGCAGGCGGCCCTGCTCCCTCACTTCCGATGTTAGAGACCCTCCCTCCGGCCCCCACCACCGGCAGCCCCAGTGGGGTCCCCACTCCCAAAGGCCCACAGCCTGTGCTCTGGTCCCCAGCAAGGAATGACTGCGGCCTTCCTGCTGGCCCCAAGGTCCCCACGCAGAGCCAGGCAAACGGCAGACACTCCGCCTGTGCCAACACCTGCGGCCGGGGTCCAGCCCCCAGGACCTCGCTGTTCATCTGGGGCCACCGAGGTGGAAGGGAGCAGAGCCCACAGGTTGCTGCCTGAGCAAGTGAAGGGCCATCCAAGCCAGCAGGGCCGAGGGAAACCCAGGCCCGAGCAGAAGCCCCCAGCCCAGGGGCGAAGGGGCCCCCTTGCTTTGCAGAGGCCTGGAGTCCAGGAGTCAGGGGACCCCAGGCAGTGGGGTGGGCCCTGCACCCTGGCAACCAGGCACCGCCCCACAGGCAGGCTAGCCCCGGACTCCAGCCCTGGCTGCATTAATGGTTAACCCGCGGGGCAGAGGGTGCCAGGCGCCCGGCGGCCGTGTGAAGTGCTGGCCTGGGTGTGAACGCGGCAGCCAGGTGTGAGCTGCGGTCAGGAGCCCGGCCAGGCCCGGGAGGCTCCCGAGTGGAGCCTGCGGAGAAGGCGGCCCTGTGGGCGGAGCCTCCGCCCTCCCACCCGCAGCACAGGGTCACGGGTCACAGGCTCACAGTGCAGAATGAGCACCTGGGACTGGGGACTGGGCCAGGGCCCAGCGTGAGTGACCTCGCTGTCGGCACTCACACGGGCGCCTCGGCAGGCCTCCTGAGCCCCGCCTGGACCAGCGGCTCCAGCTCCCTGCACCCCCCCATTCCCAGGGCCCACGCTGGGGGTACCGGGCCAGCCCCACGGCCCGCTACAGCTCCCACTGGGTGCCCATGTGCCCTGCACAGGTGCCTTCTACCGCCCACCCCCGCCTCTGCCAGGGGACACGGGGCAGGCGGGCAGTGGTCCCGCTCCCAGCCCGGCAACAAGCCCCTCATCGATTTCCTCTGGGGGGCAGGGACTGAAACCCGGCTCAGCCGAGCCCCCTGGACTCCTGGGCAGAGGGGGGCAGGCTTGTTCTCCACCCAAAACAGGCGAGTGCTGTGGGGAAGGCAGACACGCCAGACACGCCGCCCCGCCCGGTCCCCTCGGCAAAGCACACACAGCACCGGCCGCCTCAGCCTGGAGCCCACTTTCTCCTCAGACAGCCCGTTTTTATCAACGAAAAACAAACACTGATTTACAATCGCACCTGCTTCTGGGTCTGAGGACACAAGCACTCCAGGCTGCCCGCCACCTCTGTCTGGCCAGGAGACGGCTACACTCCCCCCCACCCGCCCCCGCGAACGTGCCGTGAATGTTAAACTCTCCGGCCACGTCCGCAGAAGGAGACGCCTACCTTCCTGGGGCCCCCTCCCTGTCACCTCGGCCTCCAGACCACGGCGGGGCCCGAGCAGAGTCCCCACGTCCCTCCCTTCTCTCCCTCTCCGTCTGCATCCCGGGGTCCAGGCTGTACCTTACAAACGGATACGGGGACCCTTCACTACCGAGGGTGCTTGTCACACCACAGGCAAGTCCCCCCAAGTGTGGAGCACAGCGGTGCCGTCGCCCTAGAGAAGGGACAGGGACGCCGAGCACGGAAGGCTCGCACTCCCGCCGCTCACAGCACCCCAGGCTGGGCCGCCACAGGAAGACGCCACCCAGGAGGGCAGGGGACACGCCCAGGTCCAGGCCGGGTGTCCAGCGTCGTCGTGATGCACAGCAGCAGTCCCCGAGCCCCGCGTGAGTCTCTGCGGTGCTCACCGCTGCCCGGGGAGGGCGCGGCTGAGCCCACGTGACAGGTGAGGAATCAGGCCGCAGACGAGGCCCCTCCCGCCGCGGGAGGCCCTGAGCGCAGCCCTCACCCTCACCCAGGGCAAGGAAAGCCATCTCGGGGCACGAGGGGCCCGGAGGCTGCTGCCCCAGGCACAGCACCCTCATCTCCTCCCAGCCCCCATCCACTCAGAACGGAAGCCGACCCCCAGGGTTGCTGACTGGTTTAAAAAACGGGGGGGCAGGGGGTCTCCCCATCCAGCTGGAGCCCACCATACCCCGGGTCCAGGGCCTGAAGCCCGATGCGTACGTCGGCCCCTCGGGCCACGTCTGGCTTCCCGAGGCCCAGGATGCTGGGCTCTCTGACCCCGTTAGCCGTCCCTGCCCACGGGGGGAGGGACTCAGAGGCCCCAACCAGGGCCCCCAGAGCCACCACATTCTCCCCTAAGCCCATCGACTGGACCCCATAGAGCAACAGCTGGAGCCCACATCCCAAGGGCCCCTCCAGGCTCTGTTTACAGGGTGCAGAGGCCTGTCCTGGGAAGCTCTGGTAAACACACCCAGGGTCCGTCCCCCAGACGCGGCCAGAGCTGGGGCCTGGGGGCTGACCACGTTAGATCACCGAGGGACGGCGGGTTATGCCACCACTGCCCGAAACAAAATGAGAGCCAGACCCGCAGCGTCCCATGGGCCATGGCTGCCCAGAGCTGCCCCTGACCTGCAGTGGCCCGGCCAACACCGGAGTTACGGCCACCACTGTCTACGCCCCACTCTGCCCCTCTACGAAGGCCATTTCAGCCGGCACTGGGGGCAGAGGAAAGACGTGCTCCTCAGGGAGACAGGGAGCGTGCTGAACCCTGGGAGCGGACGTCAGGTGCTGACCACAGCAAGCTCAGGACGGGGACACTGGCCCCCTAGGGCCCAGCCTACCAGTACCCCCAGGTCTGGCGGCAGATGTCCCCTGAGGGACCTGTGGGGGAGCTGGGGCCGGCCCCAAAGGGCAGAGAGCTCTGCTCTGGGCCCCACACCCGAGCCCCATCTGCTATGGAGCTGGGGGTGCAAGCACCTCAGGCCTCCCTCGTGGAGATGAGGGGGACGAGGGTGAGAGGCTGGCCACCGACCCCAGCACGTCCAGACACCCGAGGCCTAGGGGCCACTGGGCAGCCTTCCGCCAGACGCAAACTGGACGGCTCACCCACCCGGGCCTCGGCAGGTGCTGCGCCCGCCCTGGCTGTTTGCCCTGTCATAAGAGGCCTTCGGCTATGACTCAAAAGGCCATGAACCCAGAAACCCATGGGGGTGCCACTCCAGGAAGGGCCGGGGGGCTGCTGCACCCACCACACAGGCGCGCCCCGGCTCTGCCTCGGCCCCCAACGGAGCGGGAACGGCCTCCCGGCCAGGCGCACTGGCCTCCACAATGGGTCTCCTGTTCCCACTGACCTCTCGTCCCCTCTCTGCCAGAACCCCAGTGTCTGGGGCCGGATGTTTTCCTGCCCACGCTGTGCCGGGTGGGCCGGGCGGAGGAAGGGCCCGGGTCCGAGCAGAGCAGGGCAGGGCGCGGGATCAGGCTGCACGGGCGCGGCGCGATGCACGACCCACCCGTCCCCTCGGGCTGACCGCGACCCTGACCCCGTAGACAAAGGCCCGTGGGGTCAGCCTGGCCCAGCCCCATCTGTGCTGGGCCCGCAGGCCTGCACCCCACGCAGGCGGCGGCCCCAGCACCCACTGAGCTGCGAGGACCCCGTCCACCGATGCGGGGGAGCCAGCAGACAGAGGCAGACACCCCGGTCCTTCACGCCCCTGGCGGACCACACCCTAGCCAGGCGCCCACCCTCGAGCCGCCTCCGACGCCCAGGGTGGGCCCAGCTCACCCAGCGCGCCCACCTGTGCCCAAGAGAATAAGACCACGGGGACCTGGACTCATGGGCTCTAACGCCCCCGAACGTACCCCGAGTGAGGACACAGACCGGGGTCGTGCCGAGGGGGGACCCCGCGGGCGGGGCTGGAGCAGGATGCACACAGTTTCCTCCTTCACAAAGAGACAGCAGTGGGGGACACTGGGGGACAGAGTGGGCTTCAGCACCTGGCTAGGGGCCCGGGAGCCCCTTAGCATCCAGGGGTGTCGGCTGTCAGGGACTGGGGGACTCTCCACCCAGGCCTGCAGGGACCCCGACCCCAGGGTCAGCTCCCAGGTATGGGTCTAATGAGCCTTCTCATGTGACAAGGGGCCGGGCCAGCTACATGGTCCATCACTAAGCAGCTCTCTCCCCTACACCTCACATGGGGACCAGGGACCAACATCAAAGGGCCTGGACTGGCCGTTGCAGGGAGGGTGAGATAGTTCCTAGTCAAGAGTGAGCTCTAACACACCCCCAGACCCGACATCTTCACCCCAAGAAAACAGGCCGCTCCGTGCCAAAGGCACCCTGCCGCCCAGACCCACCCACAGCCAGTGCCCAGGGGCGGCCCCTCCCGCCTCGGCCGCAGTTCGGGGACCAGGAGACACCCCAGAACTTCCCAGGAGAAGGCCAGACAGAATCCCGCCCGCAAACAGGAAGGCTGAGCTCGGGAGACACACCTCAGGCCTCTCCGACGAGGCAGGCGAGGCCGGCAGCAGACCCAGGCCCTGCCCGGAGCCTCCAGCCATCCGGCCAAGAGCCAGACCCCAATCTGGCTGCCCAGAGCGGCCTGAAGAAGCAGAATGTCTCCCAGGACTCGCGCGGACAGCACAGGAGCCGCCACGTGCAATTCGAGCGTCACCTTCCTACGTCCCCCAGTGCTGCTCCGGCAGGTCACCGTGGCCAGCCCTGGCCTGGGGGAGGGCTCAGCGGCCAGGCTGTGTGCAGGCTCCCAGTGACCGCAGGTGAGTGGGCAAGACGGTCAGCCTGAGCCACCAGCCCTACCTGACACGCGAGAAGGATCTCAGCACCCCCAGATGGACCCTCCCAGAGAAGCACTCCCAGCAGAATAGGGGGGTCCCTCCCCGACTCATGAGGCAATGTGCCCAGGACCCCGCACCAGCACCCCTTCCCTGCCTCCTGTGTCCTGGAGGGGCTCTGGGGCAGTGCAAGCTGAGGGGACCCCGGCCATCCTGCTACACCCCCTGCGAGATGGCCATAACTCCCAGCATCTGAGGGCCACCTGGCAGCTCCCGCTAAGCGCTGCCACACCTGTGACCCCTCCGGCAGGGACAGGCAGCTCTGACCACACGTCCTAAGAGTCCTTCCTTCACGGTCCCCTCCCTTCCAGAGCGCCGCTTCCCACGAGGCTGTGTGCGGTGCAGGGGGACAGACGCCCCCACGGCAGACCGAGCCCAGCCCCCGTGGGGCCCCCTCCGCGTGGCCTTGGGGCCGGGGCCCGGCCTGGGAGCACGTGGCCGCCTCGGCTCGGGCTGGGCTGGGCGGGCTCACCTTGACGCTCCGGTGCTGCACGCGGGACGGCTGGCACTTGACGCTGCTGGTGTTACAGCAGCCGGTGCAGCGCCTCACCTCCACGCACGGCGGCCAGATCAGGAAGTTGGCAGACGTGGGGTCGACCTGGCTCCGAGGTATCTCGTAGATGACCGTCCTGGTCTTGCAGACGGCAGGGACGGCCTCCTCTGCGGGGAAGGGGCCCGGTGAGCTGGGAGGCCACGCTGTCCCACTGGCCCCGTGTCCACTGCCCCCCTCCTCAACCCTCCCAGGGCTACAGCAGCTCCAAGGGGCCCTGCCTACGTGACACGTGTCACGCAGCCCCAGGGCCCCCGTGTCCCCATAGGGTGCAGCTGAGCTGGCTCGAGGATGAGCAGGGACTCGAGGGCCCATTGGGGACACCCCAGAGGAAAGGTGCAGCCGGAAGAGAGGACCGTGTGACACCGGGTCCAAGACAGGAGGGAGGCCTGCTATGGCCACGGCAGTGAGGGGCGTGCGGCCGGGGACGGGACAGGTCAGAACCTGAGGCTGACAGGCCCGGGGCCAGTGGAGCCCAGCGTCCCTGCCATCAACTCGGGGCCACTGGGGCTGGCGGAGATGGGGAGAAGCAGAGAAACCAAGTCTGGGAGCCCCCGAGAGAGCCGGGCAGACAGACCGGGACACAGCCTGGCATGCCGCTGTGTCCCTGGAGCCAGGCCACACTCCAGGCAGGGCCTGAATCCACGTACAAGCCAGTCACTGCCTCCAGGGCTCAGGCCCCAGGTGGCTCTGGACGCTCCTGCGGCCACTGTGAAGGCTGGCCTGGGCAAGGGATGTCAAAGCCGCCTGCACAGCAGGTGAGGGACACGCCCGAACTCCGCAGCCCCCAGGCCAGGGGCCCACTCAGCGAAGGTCACCACAAGGCCACCTGCCAGCTGCGAGGGCCTCTCCAGGGAGGAGCTGGCGCCTCTCTGCTCTGTGCTCCTCAGCACAGGCCGCCCGTCCGGCCCAAAGCCCCGAGCTCCCACGGGCCGGAAACCACCCCGGGGCCCGGGCAGGATCCGGGACCACCCACGGAAGCTGCTGCCCCAGCAACAGCGCAGGGCCCCGACTCCGCGGCTGGACGAGTGACAGCCACGCACACGCTGGGCTCACGCAGGCCCAGCGGCCGGCTCGGAGGAGGGCTCAGGAGAGCGGCCGGAATGCTGAAAGGCCAAGTGCCAGGGACAGGGAGGGGCGTCGGCTCCCACCGTCCCCTCCTCACCCGGTGCCCGAGACCAAGCCCACAAACAGGAAGTCCAGCCACCCCAGTGGGGAAGGGGCTGCACTCATGGCACCCAGCCCTGGGTGCCTGGCACCCACCAGGCAGGAGGGGCCTGGGGACCCTGGCCTGCTGGTCAGGATAGTGGACAGCACCTGGGAAGGGCCTGCCTGCCTAACCCAGGCTCATCCACAGTACCCCACACTCGAAGGAACAAGCTACGAAGTCCATCTTCTTGGAGGGAACCGGAGCTGGACAGGAGTCACCTGCCCAAGGTCACCCAAGGTTGCACAGGGAATGTGCAGCAGTCGAAGCTCAAACATAGCAGGCTCCGTCAGCAGGAGGGACCCCTGGATGGCACAGGTGGCAGGGGCCACACCCCCAGCTGCCTCCCCAGGGCAAGAAAGCACAGGCCCCGACTTCCCCGCACAGCCCCACCTACTAGCAGACATGGCTGCTCTGCCACCAGAGGCAAGGACCAGACGTTCCCCCTTCCCGCGCCCAGGTGGGGCCCGGGAGCCGAGCGCCAGTGGGGCGGGGGCACAGGAAGGAGGTGCCCGCGAGCAGCCCGCCAGGCTCAGCACGCTGCCCCCGTCTGCAGCCGGGAGCACCCAGCGTGCCAAGCGACGGGCTGGAAAGGAGAGGCGACCCCGGCTCCCGTGAGGCCTCCTGGGGAGCAGGCCCCGACAGGAGCGGCACTCCAGGAATGCACGAGGCTCTCCTCTCCAGGTGGGAGGCTCCCTGCAGGAGGGCGCGCCCTGAGCGGCTGGGCCTCAGCTCCACGGGAGGGGGGGCCCGCCAGCCCCCGCGGCCGAGCTCACCGATGCTTCTTTTCCTCCGAACGGGCCCGAGCCGCTTCTCAGGTGTGTGCTTGGTGGCACGGCCGCCGTGGGCTCTCAGGCTGCTTCCCAGAGCGTCCTCGGCCCCTACGGGTGGGAAGAGGAGGTGGTGACCAGCTGGCCCCGGGCCCTCCGCAGCGTTTCCTGCGGCTCAGCCCCAGCCCCTCTCCCCTACCCAGGAAGCAGGGGTCCCCTGGGAGGCCCCCCACTCCCACACAGGAGCTTCCAGATGTGTAAAGGGTAAAGACTCCGAAAGTACCCCACTGCCCTCTGCGAAGCCCACTTGGACGCCCACATGTGGCGCCCCACAGCACCCTGCAGCCACGTGACCCGCGGGGGAGGGGCTGCAGGGGGTCTCCTGGTGGCATCTCCTCCGAGAAGGCCCGGGTGAGAGCCAACTGGGCAAGGAAGCCCGAGGCCGGCCCCCGCCCACAAGGCCCAGAACCAGCAGGCCCGCCCCCCCACCGGGCACCGCAAACAGCGGGCTGACCCGAAGGACCGGCGGAGGCCTGGCCTCCCTCTCCCTCAGCCCACCCTGAGGAGCAGCTGGCCTGAGGGGTCGGAGCAGCTGGCTGACAGCAGAACTCCACCTGTTCTTGGGGTCAGTCCACTCCGAGCGCGAGGCCACAAGAAACACATGGCCTCCCGCTCGGTGTGAAGCAGGGAGCGGCCGCAGGCCGAGGACGAGAGTCCAGGAGACTGGTAGGGCGCACAGCTTGCAGAAGCAAAGTGCTTCGCCGCCCAGGTGCCGAGAGCCACCACTGCGGAGGCGAGCGGCCCGGGAGCTAAGACTGGACTGGACCCTGGTCCGCCAGACTCTAGACGGGTGAGGGGAGGCCCAGGTCTCCGCGAGATGGACGAGGTGGTGGGAGGCACACACAGTCCTGACACCTGCCGCTGGGCCGAACCCGGCCCCCTGACACTGCCCGCACCTTCGTGATGTGGGTCACCTGACCTCACAGCCTTTGCCCTCCGACCCAGCTGGGGCCGTCCCTGTCTACTGCTCCCCTCCACGTCTGCCTCCCCACAGACAGCGAGGGGCGCAGTCCTGAGAAGGTGGGTTCCGAGAGCCAGGAGCTCCGGCAGCTGCGCTCAGGTCCCGTCTGCCACCTCCCCCTCCCCGGGTGACCTGGCCACCAGCCCCGACCAGAGGCCTCCTCCCCGATGCCCGGCCCACAGAGGCCCCGTGAGGGCCCACAAACCAGCAGCACTGAGAGCGAGACGCGAACACCGTGGCCCCCAAGCAGCCGGCGAAAGACGCGCCGAGACGTACTCCTTCAGAAGCCGAGCAGAACCCGACTTCTCGCTTAAAGTGACTCAGTGTTCCACCGCCACTGCTTTTTCTGAGACCCAAAATAAGATCGGAACAGAACTACTCATGCACGAAGAATTTCCCATCAACCAACTGTTACAAGAAGCCTTTTTTTCACACAAAAAAAGTGACATTTATGAGTCATGTGCTGGTGGTGGCCATCTTGCTATCACCAAACCGAAGAGCAGCTGGCCCATTCTCGCCTTCGATGCCTTACTACAGCCTGGCACCGGCTGCTCCACGCACGACCTGACCCTTCCGCGTGGGCAGCGGGCACTGCCACCTCTCTACACCTGAAACAGACCCCAGACGTGGATGGCAAGCAGAGACGACTGGCTGGCGGGAGCCCGTGTCCAGGCTGACTGCCCTGCGGCCCCGGGCCTGACAACCAGGGGCGACAATGCCCCCACCCAGTTCATCGACCGGCCCTGAAAACAAGAGACGGCAGAAACAGCTCCTAGTCAAACAAGCCCACCCTCTGCCAGGCCCCGTCAAGATGGGTGGTCTGCAAGGCACGCGATGCCCCCAGTCATGGGGCAGCAGCCCTCTGATTTATGCCGGTGGAGAAGTGGCCCAGCAGGGACTTACACGAGAAGGTCCCCGGGGCTGCCGCCCTACAACTGCTCCGGGGACAGTTAATCAAGCGTTTGCCTTTTGTCTTTTATGCACAGATGTCTGCGTGACAACTGGATGAGAAGAAGTGGAGAGTTAATAGCCTAGAAGGGACATTTATGTATCGTTACTCAGTGACCTGCAGGCGCTCGGCCAGCCTGCTAGAACAAAGCCCCCCGCTGCCACTGAGCTGAAGGATGTGTTCTGGTCACTGGACAAACAGACCCCAAACTCCACCCTCCTGGTCACTAAAAGACTACATGTGGGTCTCCACCCAAAGCCTCAGGTGAAGGACCACCTACCCCTTCAGTCCCTATACCTGGGGAGGGGCTGGTACGGGAATCCCACCCCTCAGGGCCACCAGCCACACGGACCAGGGTCGCAAGCTCATCTTCTCACCTGTGAAATGGGACTGCAGCCCCACCAGTGGGAGGAGTCAGGATCCCACATGCCAATCACAAAGCTCCACCCACACAGGGGAGGGGCCACTTTTAAAAGCCTCTAAAGCTTGCTGGGCACTAGTCATAGCTCAGGTTGACTTGGCAGGGCCACCCTGGCAGTCAGCAAGGGAGACTGTCCAGTGGGGTTTCTCCGCACCCCAGGCCCCTTGCTCAGGGATCCCAGACGGACCCGGCGGGACCCAGCAGGGGGTCCAGGGCCTGCAGGGCGGCTGAATCCTCCACAGCTGTTCGCGACCTTGCCAGCAGTCCTCCGCTTCCAGCCCCCACTTCGGTGGGAACCGGAGTTGGGGGGAGACCCCCCAGACAAGCTCTAGAAGCAAGCAACAGGTGCAACTCCTGTGCTCAGGCCAGAGCCTCTTCTCAGCTTCCACGTCTGTGGGGGGGGGGGGGGCGGACCGGGGCCAAGGAGACCCACTTAGGCTGTTGTGTCACAAAGGACCCTGAGGCGCAAGGCTAGTGAGCAAGGAAGGTCCCACAGGCCCTCTGTGCTCACCCAAAGTTCCTGGGCATCAGCTCCTGAACCGTCTGATGGGTAGGAGGGAGGGGGGTGGCTCAGAGCTGCACTCCCCACTCCCCGGGGCAGGCGGGAGCTGAGCTCCGGCAGCTTTTTATAAGGGGGCAATTTGAAACCAGCTGAGAACAGGCTGCAGCCTCCTGGCTTTTTCTGTTTGGACAC